ACATAAATTTATAATTTACGATATTATAATTTGCTAGTATTCCTGCATAATTATTTAACTCAAATTTGTTTACAAGATCATAATATAAATATGGATGAATAAGTCCATCATCATCAAGTTTAGAAAATGTCTTTGCATTCGGAAATTGCGATAGCAATTGTGTAAGTGTATCAACTAGTTTAAGATGTAACGTATTGTAACTATATTCATTTTTCAATTCTAGACACGGTGTCACTATACATTTCCACCTTTGATCACCTATAAAGATAATATTATTAGAGTATGATAGCATCTTATAAAATGTGTCATCAGTTCTGTTTTTTTGATATATAAATATCACATTTGTTTGTTCAAAGTTTTTCTGTACATTCTCTTGTAAAGGAACTGTATATGATACAGTATTGTAAAAGAGTATCATGTGTAGTGTGAAATTTGAGAATAGAAAGCCTAATATAAAACTAATAGCACTGATTTTTAAAAAACGTTGATATTTTGTTATAGCCATATTTTGTATATTTTTTTTAAGTCCGAAAATTTTCGAAATTGGATTTATATACTAATTATTTGCTGTTTCACAATTCTCTCAACTGCAACTCTAACGACGCGGTGTAACAAACAATGCTAATTATGTTTTTTATTTAATATTCTCTTGGCAGGGTTGGCGAAATTAATTCTTTAAAAATCTTACCCCTAAAATAATAAATTCTTGAATTATATTAATAAATAACTTCGCCGAAATTTAATTACTACAGTAAATTTTAATTATTTAATCTGCCAAGGTATACATACTTTACAGAAACTTAAATATCTTAATATACGGTAACTGCATAGTAACAACGTAGTAATTACATAGTTACTATTAAATTTATTCGTAACTATATAGTTACTATGAGTAACTGCGCATTTAGAGATTTAAGTTTCTGTATAGTACTTTAATTACTTGAGGCAGAACTTCGAATTTGATACAGTATTCAAATTTTTACTTTACCGTTGTTGATTGACGTTTTATTATTATAATTTTGGTTTGCTCATCCTTGCCATATTTTTATTTATGCGGTTGCTTTTGTATATACCGATATGTTTATTATATATTTATGG